CCCCCCCCCGGGCCCGTTACCGGCGCGCTGCTACATCAACTGCGACAACAACTACACGGGCCGCCGTCGCCGCCGCCGTCCCTCCGCGAAACCGTTACATTATGGGCGTCGCTGCCGCCTGCCCGCGCAGCGCAGCGCCTCGTCGACACTATTCATTCCTGTCCCGCTTCGCTTCAAATTCCCCTGGAAGGCGTTGGGGGACGGGAAAGGGGGGGGGGGCGTCATGGATTTATGGAAATGTGGCGGAGGCGGACGGGCGGGGCGGAGTGGCGAGTGGACCGCTGCCGCGGGGCGCGACGGGCAGCCGCGGCTCCGGGGACAGGCAGGACCCGTGACACCGCCGTTAGGTCCCGCCTCGCCTGGCGTTGTTGCCGCCCCCGCCCGCTCCCCGACAAGACGGACGAGTCAGCGGTGAAGGGACGGCGGCAGACGGCGGCGTCCGTTTGGGGGCCGCGGTAGGGCCGCCGAGCCGGGGTGGCGGATATGACGGCGTCCCTCCCCCGCCCGCTCACTCCCAGAGGGGCTGGCCCTGGCTGCTCCCCCATCCTGGCCGAGTACAGCAGCTTCCCACAGAAGCTCGAGGGCGAGCAGTCGCAGGACACCCGACTCTGCGGACAGTCTCCCACGACAGTCGTCCATTGAAATGCATTGCAATCAGCTGGCGTCCCCGGCGCGCCCGGAGTTCATTATAGTCCTGGCTGGTCGCGCTGCCCAGGGCCAGCTGGGGCCCCAGGCCAGGCGCATGCAGATGCACTGCCGCCGCCCGAGTGGTGCTCCGAGGGGAGCGGCGCGTCGGCCGCGTCCACAGGCCGGCGCCGAGGGCGTGCCCTGCTGCCCATCCCTGCCAAGCCCCGTCGAGGATGGCCCGGTGAGCCACGGACGATGCGGTAGGTTTGAGGATGCGACCGGTGCAAATACTCACTTTGCAGTTCTGACGAGCTCCATCTTGGCCTCCTCCATGCGCTCCACGTCTACGCTGTCCAGGACGAACACGATGCCGTCCGTGCACCGGGTGTACGACTTCCACAGGGGGCGCAGCTTCTCCTGGCCGCCGACGTCCCACACGAGGAAGTTGATGCCTTTCGCCTTGCCCGACTGGCAGCGCACCTTCTCGCAGTTGAACCCGATGGTGGGCACCGTGTTGAGGTACTGGTCGAACTTGAGGCGGTACAGCGCCGTCGTCTTCCCGGCCGAGTCGAGGCCCAGCATGACGACGTGCAGGGTGCCCTGCGTGGACGGCAGCGCGTCCAGGAGAGACGAGTTCTTGCCCATGTTGGCGCCCATCACCGTGTCGCAAGCCTCACCAGGATGCCGATGGGGCCGTCGCGGCGGGCATAGCGAGCTGCACCGGGCTATCTTTAGCCGCGCCGCCGGGGGGCGAGCGGGGCCCAGTCCATCGGGGGCGGACTTATTTCAGGGGCTTTGCTGCCCAGCCCCGTCCCGTCAGCTGCACAGATTATTATTGTGTGGAAGATGCTCCGCTGGCGGCAGTCGACCCGGGCCGCAGGTAAAAACAGAGGAGGGAGAGTGCGTCCCTCGCTCGCCACACGAAAACACTGTGCCAAACACCTGGTCGGAGCGACCCAGCTTTTTAAACCGAGAGGCCACCACTGCGTTTCTCTCTCTTTAACTTCGTCACGTCACACTCGTTACACTCACAGCACTGGCACGACCTCACACACACACACCGAACACACAGACATGCGCGCGCACTGTGACGGCGACGGGGTAATCCAGGGCGATCACCGTCACAGCCCACAACAATAATAACACGGTCAGAGGAAGCGCGAGCGAATCGCTGTATCGAGCGCTCAGCCTCCCGTCGGCGGCTGCTGCGTGACGGGGGTGCGGCTCGGGCACGCGAGGTCACGCACTCACGCGGGGCAGTCCGCGAGACAGACGGTCTGGAGGCTAAGCCCGTCCAGCGCGAGCCTGGGCCATCACGGCGTGGCGCAGCGCGGCGCGGGCGAACGTGCGGTCCCCTCCGCGGCCAGCAAGACACTGAGGGCGCTGCGGCGGGGCCGCGCGGGGCCGCAGCAGCCGCCGCTGCCGCCGCTGCCGCCGCCACAGCTGCTGCCGCTGCCCGCCGCCGCCACCGCCCCACCCCCCTGGCCCTCCCTCGCCAGCGATGGCTGCCCGAGGTTCGTCCCGCTGCCGCCGCGCGCGCTGCCGTCGCGCCAGGCCGGCGCAACAGCTTGCGCTGCCAGCCTCACGGCGCGAAAACGTCGGCCTGGTCTAACACTGATTTCAGGGCTCCAACGGCTCCACCCGCCGCGACCGACCCTCTAGAAAAATCGGTAAGAGATGGAGAAGCGCTAGAAAACGCCACACTTGAAATTTCGATGGGGTGGACGTCCATACGTACGGCAGTTCTCGCGCCGGGGTTGGCGGACGTGCGCGGGGACTCAGCGTCGGATTTTGAATCTCAGCCGTTACGCTCCGCGGCCCGATCGGCCGCCACGCCAGGCCACGCCCCGCCCCGCGCCCCGGCTTTGTTCAGGTTCAGCCGGCTGCGGCCAGCATCCAGGACATCCAGGAGGACGCCGTGCAGGGCATTGCGTATTTATGCCCCTGTCGTGGCGTCCGCGGGGATGGTAGTGAAATGAATTTGCAATGGGCAGAGTATATTGGTGCGGAGCGGAGTGGCTTCCAGTGTCGCGGGGCATTATTGGAGTGGCGGCTGCCAAGTGTCGTGGGGGAGGAGTGGCACGAGGTGCCGCTTACCGTGTCGCGGTTCAGTTACTACTGTACGTAGTAACAAAACCCTCAAACCCTCCGATACTCGAAGATCTCATTCTATACCCGATTGCCTCGAATTAAAGTCGGATCAGGCGATTTAATTACGGGAACGCCCGAAATGCGATCGTTTTACCTGAAGATGCAGCCCGAGGAAGGATGGAGAAAACTAATCGTTGAGACATCTTGTAATCTTGCCTCTTTTCCACCCCCCCCCCCCCTCGTTGTTATCATTCTTCTGTGGCTCCGTGTTGTTTGGCTCTCCTCGACCACCGTTTTACAGTCCCAATTTACTCTGGTATCATTAGAACGTATCGCCTCGCCTCCTCGTTACGGGACGGGCGCTACGCGCTGCTCTACGCGCTGCTCTACGCGTTGCTCTACGCGCCGCGCCCCGGGCCTCTGCTCGTAACTCGCCGGCTGACCGCGCCACGATACGTGGCTCTCTGGCGGACCTGCGGGCGTGCTCGGCGCGTGCGTCACGTGACCAGAACAGGTAGAGCCGCGCGGTAGTGCCCCCACCCCTGCCCCCCGACCTGTCAACCCTTTGGACCTTTGAAGAAGAATACGATGCGTATGGTGCTGAGCAGGGGAGGGGAAGGTTGGAGGGAAGGCAGGCACGAGCAGGACTGCTACAGTATCAGCAGGTGATTCTTGTTAGATCCCTACGAACCGACCATAGTTCTAGTGGTTTGGCCGAGGGGTGGATAACTCCCCTGCCAAATGTACTCCTCTAATTTTGCCCAATTCAAACTAATTCAGACCAATTCAATCTAATTCAGTCCAATTCAAGCCAATTTACATTCAATTCAAGTCAATTCAAGCCAATTCAAGTCAATTCACGCTAATTCAGTAGAAAAAAATCGAAATAATTCAAACCAATTTAAAAACAATTCAACCAATTCAGTCAAATTCAAATTCAATTCAAGCCAATTCAAGCTAATTCAAATTCAATTTTTGAAATTTGTACACTCAATTCAGGAGTTATCCATCCCTCGGGTTTGGCACTTTGTGCTGCAATACAATCCGCCTGCAAATACAGCAACAGCAATACCAACGCCAGTGTTGGCGTGTGGGTTTTCGGTCCGACCAGTATAGCCGAGTCCTGCTTATGCGAGGACGGCGGGGACGAAGTATAGTTAGGTTGCCCCCTCCCCTCGTTAGTAATGGACTAGATCGCCTAAAACCGCCTAAAACCATTTATTACAAATGCTGCTACCTATGGGACCGGGATTATTTGCCACGGCCAACTAAGGGTCTTAACTGTCTTCACCCTCCAGGCAAGACCATCATCTGTGTGTGTGTGCGCGTGTGTGTCTGTGTGTGTGTATGTGTGTGCGTGAACTAATCGGTGGCCCAGGCCGGCGCGGGGCACAGGTTGGGTCGGGACCGTTGGGGCGGTGGCGAGTGGCGCCCTCAGGCCGGCGGGTACATACCCATGAGCCACGCAAATGACTTGCAGCAGCCCGCCCGGGGCTGTTTCCCCCCGCACCTGCGGAGGCTGAGCGCCAACAAGCAGGCCCGCAGGCCCGAGCAGCAGAGCCAGCAGAGCCAGCGGAGCGGGGGGCGTGGGGGCCGCGGAATGCTTGTGGAGGTGGCGCAGGGGCTGTAGACACGGCGGGCCATAATGGGTCGTTGTTTAGAATTATTAATCACCAAACATGGCAAGCTAAGCGAATTCGGAAACTGTCCGAGTCAGCGGTCTGGAAGGAGCTCTGCGGCTCCGGGGCGGCCCGAGCTCGCTGTCTCGACTGGCCCCGACCCGCCCCACCCTGCCTAAACCTGTGCCATGCCACCCCCGCGGGCCTACTCCGAGGGTCCGAGGGGCAACAACAAGGGACAGCGTCGTTGCTTTAGAAACAAATACAGTGAGTCAGCTCATGTCCAGTACATATTGCGTTAGACCGCAAGCGACTTACCGGGCAACAGTCACAACTCTTT